AAATAATTTAACTGTAGGGCAAGATGCAAAGCACAACTATAGTTAAATGAAATATGGATCTGGCCCAATTAAGAATTTTATTTAAAAGAATCCACCGAACCAAGAGTTGTAATAACGATTGCAATTGGAATGAATTCCTACCTAAATAATTTAACTGTAGGGCAAGATGCAAAGCACAACTATAGTTAAATAAAATATGGATCTTGGCCCGCTAGGGTATTCTTCAAATAGAAACCCTAAGTCAATAGGTTCCGTACCTGAGGGTAGTTGACTTGTTAGAAATAGTGGGAGAGTATTTAATAAAGACCTATTAGATACTTAATTCATGATAATAACTATCTTCGCAAAATTCTGTAGATGGCAAACAACAACACAAACAACCTCGCCCTGCGTTCCATTCTGGATGAAGATAAATTGAACGGAACAAACTTTGTTGACTGGCAACGCAATCTCTGCATTGTTCTCCGCATGGATGAGAAAGAGTATGTGCTCGAAAATCCCATTCCTCCTGCCCCTCCCGCTAACGCCCCGAAAGCGGTCAAAGATGCCTACGAGAAACACGTTAAGGATGACAACCAGGTTAGCTGTGTCATGCTGGCTACCATGATACCCAAGCTGCAAAAACAGCACGAGGACATGAAGGCCCACGAGATGATCGTGGCCTTGCGGCAGCTATACCAGGGGCAATCCAGGCATGAACGTTTTCTCGTGAGTAAGGCTCTCTTTAGTTGCAAGCTCTCTTCAGGGAACCCGGTCGGTCCGCACGTTCTCAAAATGATTGGTTACATAACCAATCTGGGGAAACTCGGGTTCTCCTCGCAGAAGGAGTTGGCAACGGACCTGATCCTGCAACCGCTCCCTGAGCTGTATAAGGGTTTTGTCATGAACTACATGATGCATGATCTTGACAAACCCCTTCCGGAGCTTCTTAAAATGCTCCAGACTGCAGAGGAGAACCTTACTAAGGGCAAGGGTGCTTCCGTCCTTATGGTCCAAGGCGGAAAGGGGAAGCCGAAGAAGGGGATTAAGATTAAGGCTAGGACGGTCGGAAA